TCTCAATAGCGTGTTGTGTGTGGGTGAGTTAGGTGCAACACTAGTACTGCATTGGAAAGCGGGATAAAACGATTTTAAAGTCTCCGTCATTAAGACGAAATGTTTACGTGCTGAATAAACACATTGCCCCATCCAGAAGAGTAATGGCGCTATCGTCCACACATGTGGCTATACTTGATAGATTACGACTTATAGAAATGCAGAAAGCAGATAAACCAACACATCATGAAATGAAAAAAGTGGGGTTTTTTATCTTTCGCAGTTTGTATTGATAAATATTTGTCATGTCCTCAAACCTGCCATGGTGTATGCATTGATATCACAGATTAATTCTCAATACAACACCCCAGTCTTTAGTCAGTCAGTAAATATTACAAGGGTGAAAGAGTAAACATAGAGAGAGTCTTGTTGTTACGGTGCGAGACCATTCAGGAACCACGGTATCTACGTCCTCTCACCCTCCTCTGCTTGTCGTTGACACATATGTTACTATTGATGTGGACACATATGTTACTATTGATGTGGACACATATGTTACTAACTATTGATGTGGACACATGTTACTAACTATTGATGTGGACACATACACTACTTACTGGTGATGTGGACACATACACTACTTACTGGAGATGTGGACACATACACTACTTACTGGATGTGTGGACACATACACTACTTACTGGAGATGTGGACACATACACTACTTACTGGCGATGTGGACACATACACTACTTACTGGAGGTGTGGACACATACACTACTGACTGGTGATGTGGACACATACACTACTTACTGGTGATGTGGACACATACACTACTTACCGGTAATGTAGACACATACACTACTTACTGGTGATGCGGACACATACACTACTTACTGGAGGTGTGGACACATACACTACTTACTGGTGATGTGGACACATACACTACTTACTGGATGTGTAGACACATACACTACTTACTGGAGGTGTGGACACATACACTACTTCCTGGTGATGTGGACACATACACTACTTACTGGTGATGTGGACACATACACTACTTACTGGTGATGTGGACACATACTACACTGATGTGGACACATTACGCCTACCTGGTGATGTGGACACATACACTACTTACTGGAGATGTGGACACATACACTACTTACTGGTGATGTGGACACATACACTACTTACTGGTGATGTGGACACATACACTACTTCCTGGTGATGTGGACACATACACTACTTACTGGAGATGTGGACACATACACTACTTCCTGGTGATGTGGACACATACACTACTTCCTGGTGATGTGACACATACACTACTTACTGGTGATGTGGACACATACACCACTTACTGGTGATGTGGACACATACACTACTTACTGGTGATGTGGACACATATACTACTTACGGAGATGTGGACACATATACTACTTACCGGAGATGTGGACACATACACTACTTACTGGAGGTGTGGACACATATACTACTGACTGGTGATGTGGACACATACACTACTTACTGGAGATGTGGACACATATACTTGGGTATTGAGCTACTACTGTACAGGTACTGAGAGGGTACTGAGCTACTACTGATCAAGTACTGAGAGGGTATTTAGCTACTTAGCAGTGAGCAGGTGCTAGGTGGGTAGTGAGCGGATGTTAGGTGGATAATGAGGATGTTATGTGGGCAGTGTGCAGGTGCTAGGTGGGTAGTGAGCGGATGTTAGGTGGGTAGTGTGCAGATGTTAGGGGATAATGAGGATGTTAAGTGGGCAGTGAGCAGGTGCTAGGTGGGCAGTGAGCAGGTGCTAGGTGGGTAGTGAGCGGATGTTAGGTGGGTAGTGTGCAGATGTAAGGTGGATAATGAGGATGTTAAGTGGGCAGTGAGCAGGTGCTAGGTGGGTAGTGAGCAGGTGCTAGGTGGGTAGTGAGCAGGATGTTAGGTGGGTAGTGTGCAGATGTTAGGTTGATAATGAGGATGTTAAGTGGGCAGTGAGCAGGTGCTAGGTGGGTAGTGAGCAGGTGCTAGGTGGGAAGTGAGCGGATGTTAGTCGGGTAGTGTGCAGATGTTAGGTGGATAATGAGGATGTTAAGTGGGCAGTCAGCAGGTGCTAGGGGGGTAGTGAGCGGATGTTAGGTGGGTAGTGTGCAGATGTTAGGTGAGTAGTGAGCGGATGTTAGGTTGGTAGTGTGCAGATGTTAGGTGGGTAGTGAGCGGATGTTAGGTGGGTAGTGTGCAGATGTTAGGTGGATAATGAGGATGTTAAGTGGGCAGTCAGCAGGTGCTAGGGGGGTAATGAGCGGATGTTAGGTGGGTAGTGTGCAGATGTTAGGTGGGTAGTGAGCGGATGTTATAGGTGGGTAGTGTGCAGATGATAGGTGGATAATGAGGATGTTAAGTGGGCAGTGAGGATGTTAAGTGGGCAGTCAGCAGGTGCTAGGGGGGTAATGAGCGGATGTTAGGTGGGTAGTGTGCAGATGTTAGGTGGGTAGTGAGCGGATGTTATAGGTGGGTAGTGTGCAGATCATAGGTGGATAATGAGGATGTTAAGTGGACAATGAGGATGTAAAGTGAGCAGTGCCAGGTGCTAGGTGAGCGGATATTAGGTGGGTAGTGAGCAGATGTTATAGGTGGGTAGTGTGCAGATGATAGGTGGATAATGAGGATGTTAAGTGGGCAGTGACCAGGTGCTAGGTGGGTAGTGAGCGGATGTTAGGTGGGTAGTGAGCAAGTGTTAGGTGGGTAGTGATCGAGTAGATCTTAGGTGGGTAGTGAGCGGATGTTAGGTGGATACAGAGCAGGTGCTTGGTGGAATAGTCCGCGGACGTTAGGTGGATGTGAGATGGGTAGTGAGCGGATGTTAAGTGGGTACTGAGCAGGTGTGAGGTAGGTAGTCAGCAGATGATAGGTGGGTTGTGAGCAGGTGTGAGGTAGGTAGTCAGCAGATGTTAGGTGGGTAGTGAGCAGGTGTTAGGCGGGTAGTGAGCAGGTGTTAGGTGGGTAGTTAGCAGGTGTTAGGTGGGTAGTGAGCAGATGATAGGTGGGTAGTGAGCAGGTGTCAGGTAGGTAGTCAGCAGATGTTAGGTGGGTAGTGAGCAGGTGTTAGGTGGGTAGTCAGCAGGTGTTAGGTGGGTAGTGAACAGATGATAGGTGGGTAATGAGCAGGTGTGAGGTAGGTAGTCAGCAAGTGTTAGGTGGGTAGTGAGCAGGTGTTAGGTAGGTAGTCAGCAGGTGTTAGGTGGGTAGTCAGCAGGTGTTAGGAGGGTAGTGAGCAGGTGTTAGGTGGGTAGTGAGCAGGTGTTAGGTGGGTAGTGAGCAGGTGTTAGGTGTTAGGTAGGCAGATCAGGTGTTAGGTGGGTACAGATAAGTGGGTAATGAGCAGGTGTGAGGTAGGTAGTCAGCAGCAGTGTTAGGTGGGTAGTCAGCAGGTGTTAGGAGGGTAGTCAACAGGTGTTAAGTGGGTAGTCAGAAGGGGGTTAGGTGGGTAGTGAGCAGGTGTTAGGTGGGTAGCTAGCAGGTGTTAGGTAGGTAGTGGACAGGTGTTAGGTGGGTAGTCAGCAGGTGTTAGGTGGGTAGTGAGTAGGTGTTACGTGGGTAGTGAGCAGATTGTTAGGTGGGTAGTGAGCAGATGTTAGGTGGGTAGTGAGCAGGTGTTATGTGGGTAAGTGAGTAAGTGTTAGGTGGGTAGTGAGCAGGTGTTAGGTGGGTAGTGAGCAGATGTTAGGTAGGTAGGTAGCTAGTAGTGTTAGGTGGGTAGTGAGTAGGTGTTAGGTAGGTAGCTAGTAGGTGTTAGGTTGGTTGTTGCCAGGTGTTAGGTGGGTAGTGAGCAGGTGTTAGGTAGGTAGCTAGTAGGTGTTAGGTGGGTAGTGAGCAGGTGTTAGGTAGGTAGCTAGTAGGTGTTAGGTAGGTAGTGAGCAGGTGTTAGGTGGGTAGTGAGCAGGTGTTAGGTAGGTAGTGAGCAGGTGTTAGGTAGGTAGTGAGTAGGTGTTAGGTGGGTAGTGATCGTGTGTTAGGTGGGTAGTCAGCAGATGTTAGGTGGGTAGTCAGCAGGTGTTAGGTGGGTAGTGAGCAGGTGTTAGGTGGGTAGCTAGTAGGTGTTAGGTGGGTAGTCAGCAGGTGTTATAGTCCGTTTGGCTCAAAAGCGGACCGATGAAGTGGAATCTAACTCGAAAACTAATAAACATAACATACTCAATGAAACGCTGATCATAATCAAAACATCATACCAACTCTGTGAGGTTTGTGCAGAATTTTTGTCCTAAAAATAATAAAGTTGTTTAACAAACTATCATTAAAATATTGACACAGTTCACTGTTTGTTACAAGGGAGGAGTGCAGAGAAAGGGACAGCCAGGTGTTCGAGAAGCACGTTCACAGACAAAGTTATTTATTCATTAACCTGTGCTGTGCCGTCTCCATCCGTTCTCGAACATCTGGCTGTCCCTTTCTCTGCACTCCTCCCTCGTAACAAATAGTGAACTGTGTCAATATTTTAATGATATATTGTTAAACAACTTTTTTACTTTTAGGACAAAAATTCTGCAAAAACCTCACAGAGTTGGTATGATGTTTTGATTATGATCAGCGTTTCATTGAGTATTTTATGTTTATCAGTTTTCGAGTTAGATTGCAATTCTTCGGTCCGCTTTGGAGCCGCATCAAGGTGTTAGGCGGGTAGTCAGCAGGTGTTAGGCGGGTAGTCAGCAGGTGTTAGGTGGGTAGCTAGTAGGTGTTTGTCATTATCGTCATTGTAAACTGCCACAATATTGAGCATTATATCAGTAAATGTAAAATTCAGATTGTCCTTTAGATAGGTGAGATGAACCTCAACATGTGGATGCATCTCCGGTTACCACTTCCTGTAATCATCATCGTACACCCCACACACACGACCAGTGTGGCAGCAGTAGGGGCACTGTATGAAACAATTACTTGTAACCAAAACCACCCACCAGCTGGCCCAGATGGTGTTATGTAAACTAGAGTTACCTCCCTTCTATCTATTCCTGGTTTCTGCGACTGAATTTGGTCGAGAAAATGGCGTCTTGAAGTTCTAAGACAAGACGGATGAAGTGATACTATCTAAGGTAAGTTTGACTGTCTGGGGCTTCCCTTCACATACCAGGCCAACATTCCCATCAAACAATTCCTAGATTGGGCTTCTGTTTGACAAATAAACATGTAACACCCGAATAGTGACCCAATGAGCCATCTTTGTTTACAAACAAAACTCAGGAAAAAGTTTGTAAAGTCTGCAAGTGCTAGCTCCAGTAGCCTCCCATCGCGATTCCAAATGTCCCATCATTTAATGAGCGCTAGTTGAACCTGGGTTAAATACAGGCGCAGATGTCTGCTAATTTAAACATAGCACGCCTTTATTCACTGCGTAACGCGAAATTTACTTTCCATCTACAACGAAAACACGGAATCACTATAACAACTGTGAATAATTCGTATACGACATTGATAATATTTGAGACGAAGATTCACTCGAGTGATTGCAATCGCAAGAATGCTACCCAAGCCATTGTGTTCATCCGCCATTCTGCACGTGATTCTGTTGCGCTGCAGAGGAACTTGAGACGAGCTGACCTTCCAATTGATGTGACCTTTCTAAAAATACACAAAAGGAGAGGAGTAGCTGATGATATTCTTGCGAGCACACGTGTTTTCTATAAACACGAAAGAGGGACTACGCAGGATGAATATACACTGGGGAACTATCTTGTGTGATGTCAGCACATATCCTTCGTATCGGCAAATCACAGGAAACAGTTTGACAACGCATGATATACATCCGCGAGCCCCACCATCTGTTAGATGAGGCTATTATAATGCAAGTTCGCAGGTACGCGCCATTAGAAGCTGTTATCATAAATGGCCCGACTGAAGTTGTAAATATCAATTTATTCTTGAGAACACGTGTTATGTGAGGTATTAGTCAGTAGATAGGGATCTCCTGGTGCTGCACACAGCGACTGACAACTTTCAAGGAACCACTTGGAAGTCTGTTTATTATATTTATCGTTATTCTAAGCTGATCCTATCTAAGACCTGCTTTTAGCCAAGGTAGTAGTCATAATAACATGAGGAGATCTAGTCTCAGCTGATGACCAGGTCTGCCGTAAGCAGCATCTGAATGAAGACGCTGCGGTGTGTTCTGGCAGCTGTGTTCTGGTGATCTTGTAGGGGCAGTTTATAGCTGAAGGAGTCGTTGTCGTCACAGGTACGACAGATATGTACCCCAGGTACGTTTCTGTATATAGAAATGTACCCTAAACAAAGTCAATACAGAAACGTACCCGGTACCCTAAACGGCGGACGAGTCCATATTCTGCAACTCCAATTAGAAACAGTGCGTAGTTGTTCCCGTTCAACTAACTGCGAGTTGTGTTGTGCATCGCGAAATATTCGTTACTGTGTACTCTCGTTTCTTGTATAACACAATCAAATGCATTTAATACAACAGTATGACAGTTCCGATCAAGAAAAAGGCACAATGCGGAATGGCTTCGTCTTAGAGTACGTTTCTGTATTTTGATTTTGGCTTGGGTACCTGGGGTAGATATCTGTAGTGCCCGTGCCGACAATGCCCCTTTCAGCGGTAGTTTAACCTTACAATATGATTAATTATATGTTAAAGTCGTTTACAATACACTGATTATTTCGTGTCATGGTCTATTTTAAGGTGATTCCACACCATTCCATGCTTAGTTGAGAACAAATGTTTTGAGTGCATGAGACCTCCACATTAAACAGTAGTTCAACTCTGTCAGGGCTTGTCCTGTTCAGAAGACAGTTCGACACCTACAGAAGACAGTTCGACACCTACCAAATAGGAACACACGTGACATGGCTGATGCTGACACCAACAATCATCTCTTTCAATCCAAACAAACATGGGAAGGGACGCAACTCTGTGTCTTTTTGGACCACAGTCCCCTGACACACGACCCGTGAAGCTCCGGGGTAGAATTGGTCTTCAGTAACCAATGCTTGTCGGAAGAGGCGACTAGAGATCGGATGATCAAGCTCGCTGACGTAGTCATCGTCATCGTATCCCATTTGCGTAGATCGATGCTAATGCTGATAATCACTGGATTATCTGGTCCAGACTCGATTATTTACAGACCGCCGCCATATAGCTGGAATATTGCGGCGTAAAACAGCAACAACCACTAAATCACACGGAATTGTGTTATTTGTAGAAAAGCGGAATTCCACATCTGCCTGGACGACGGGTTTCACGATATTAACAAGCACTGCTTCACTATACGAAATAAACGGTCCCCTATCCTGATGAACCATTGTAGTGACCACAACAAGGAAGTAGACATTCCTTTAAGGGACCGTTCATAATATATGGTTATGGGGGTGATGATGATTTATATGGAGAAGCATTCAAAAACATTTATGTACAAAGTGACCCCCTCTACATGTCATGCATGTACAAAATCAATGAGTCCCCCTCCCCCCCTCAAAATCATCATCGCCCCTCAAGCCATCAATTATTAAGGGTCCCTAACAACACTCTTATGCTCATGCTTTCAAGTACAAGTATACTTTGTTTTCGTGTATTCGTATTTGGAATAGATAAATGTTTGAAGCAAATGAAGTGTACATGGAATGACAACTTTATCAGTGTGCGGAACACTCGGCTGCGAGACGGGTCTGCTAGGCCAGATGTGTGTGCGTGTGGGGGACCTCACAGGTCTGCACGACATTCTCCTCAAGTATTACATACGTACAGATTGCTACCCCGGTGTGGCGAGCGGGCAGAGGTATGGAGCAGCCATGTGCTGCGTGTCTCTCCACCGGTAACAATGTTAGGTAACACGCACGCCATTGCTCTTGCCTCGCTCACCAGTTGAAGAGGTTCTTTTAAGTGTTTCACTTTTTTCAAGTTACAATAGAATACACGAGATTTGCCCATGTTTTGTTCAGGTGTCTGTTTCAAGTGTATGCAAAATGGAGGTAGCAAAGTGAGTTTTGTTATCTCCGTGGCGCTATTGATTGTCAGTGAGGCGATGCCGCCAGCCACCGCTACTCCAGCGGGCTGGAATCAGGGGAGAGTACATGCTTTCTGGAGTCAGGAAATTTAAAGAATTTTTAAAGATTCTAAATGTCATGAGTCCAGTAATTTTTAGATCGTCTTGATCGATGGCAGCTATAGAGGGCATATACTCGTGTTGTACAGAACATATGTTCTGTAAAGTTCAAAGAGGCCTGTGTAAATCAGAAAATACGACTGTGTAATAAAAGTGGGCATCATGTTTCAAATACTTGGCCGCGAAGACTACTTCGCCATCACCTGTCCCTTGTTTCTGTGAAATGTGAGGGCAGGCGGGAGTATGTTGTTGGTAGACAGGAGTTTCAGCTGATACAATTAATAAACCGACGGAGTATGTACAACCTAACACAGGAGCAATTACGCTACATCTGTGTCTGTCCTCCTGAGAGGGTACGTAAGTCCCAACACATTTAAAGTAAATTTGAACTTGCCACTTTTTAAATCGTAGAATATGTGTGCTTTTAATTTATGGCTAGATTTGCCTTCAATCACCAATGGCTGAAGGGATGATGTAAATCCAGCTAGGGTCCATGCAGGTAGCAAAGGTACTGTAAGTCCCCACGGTCCCTAGTATGGTGACCTACCTTCGGTTGTTGGTGATCTATAGCCTGTTTTTATTTTGTACTGTCTATAGTGATTTAATTTTACGATAGCGTACTAGTTAAATTTATATAGCTGTGATACTCTAGTATTTTTACTGTCCTTCGGTGACAGGTTTTTATGTTCTAACTTTATTTTCATATTGATATAATCTAGATTGTTCTCGTCACGATATGGCTGAAATATTGCCGATGTGACGCTAAATAATAACTCACTCACATCTGTGTCTGGATTTGTCTCAGATGGCTGTCGTTCGTTGTAAAATGAACTCCATCTTTCACAATAGAATTATTAGCGACTACCATTATCCGCTCAATAGGGAAATTCTGTGATCACCACGGTGTTTGTCTATAGGTTTTCATCACATAGGTCATCATCATAGGTCTGTGCCAGTTGACCTTCAGATACGGCATATTTGAATGATAAAGGGAGACTACTCGCTGGGGAGCTTACAATACTACTTACGAGGACAGACGTTGTTGAGCCAGGACAAGGGGACAGACTATTTCGTGAGTGGTATAAATGGAGCGTCAAGAGACACTAAGTATTTAAGTAGTGAGACTGTTTCTCTCTCTGACGTTGCGTGTCATGAGTACACTGCCGCGGTCGGCGCACATCGGCAGGGATGCGGGGCCATTAAGAGACCTCAGCGCCGGTGATGTAACGATGCGAAAAATTACCTAGAAAAAACATAGTTTCGACACTTTCCTATGTGTACCATTTATCTATTTCACTGTCATTTCTTCACCGCACTCTGAAAAAACTGCCACGTAATCCCGTATGACAGAGAGGTAATATGTCATCTCGACGCCTCAGCGGAACCGACACACAATGGCGCTTGTTTGCTGCCGCGTGGCAGTGCAGGAAAAACAGTCGACTCGGGAAGAGATGCACGCTGGTGCTATCCATCTTGAATATTATAAGCCCTAAAATTGTGGCGGACTCAGGCGGGAGACGGCTATAAGTCATATGTCTCTTGTAATCGTCGCTGTAGCGATCAAAGCTTAATCATTTTGGACACCGATGATGGTCTTTTTATTCTACTCAGACAAATGATACTATTTTTGCTGTACCTTACTGGCTTTCTGGCATTTTTGGTTCTCGGTTATCAACTATATAACTGTGGTAAGAAGAGCAAGGAGAAATCCATTTCCTGAAATTATCATGTGATCTTTGAAAGGAAGTCGTGAAGACATACACAGTGGCACGTCATGTATATATGTGTACAGAATTATGGGAGATCGTTCAATCGATGTTCCATCCTTCGCGGCATGCTTAGCGGGAGAGAAAAATAACTGGATGAAGAATTGCATTGTTTTCCTAGTGCAATTGTTTATCATCTGATTTCATTATATTCTTACATACGTATTGTCACTGTCGCCCTAGCGTTTTTTGAACATCACGGACTGTTTACAC